TTTCACCATTTTTCCCATTTCTAAATGCAAAACTGAATTCTACAATAAAAAATACATTCATATGTATTTAAATATCATAATAATTCATCCCTTTTCTCTTGACTCTTCAAATATGATACTAATTCCAAAACTGTTATAGTTTAAATGGCAGTAACTTTGAACTTTCCATTCAAAGCTACCATAATAAATAAAAATGGACCTTCGTCCTTTTTCCCCTCGATTCTTCAATTATATTTTAAGCGTGATTCTACGTTTCACAACGTTCAACTCGTCGAGGAGGAAAAAAAAAAAAGAAATCACGGCGAACGACTCGGACTAAATTCAAACGCGAATGCAAGAATGAAATATATGCAATGCCACGTTAATTCGCGGTACAATTCTTCCGACCGCTATACTTTTCCCGAGCGAGACTGCACAAAATCCTAGAGTTCTAGATTCGTTTCTATTTGTCTATTTTAATTGTACGCGAATGGAACGTTGGTTCGAATCGAAACGAGGCTGTTTTACCATCAGAGGCATTCGCGGGGATCTTTTTATTTCAACGTCGCAGCGGGTTCCGTGGACAAGTTGCCTATCCAGAGAAAGTAAAGAACAACGACGAACGCGGCGTAGAAGAGTAAAAAATACACGGACACGAAGACCGTGATTAATAGCTGAAATATTCTTCTCACGTCCATGTTTGCAGGATGCTCGTCCCTCCAGATACGATGGATATCTCACGCCGTGAAACGCGCGATTTGCATTCAACTCGGCTCGCTGCTCGCGCTTATATCATGCGAATTCGCGGACAACCAGACGTGTGCGGGAACAATGTAGATTTTGCCTCGGGGTACATCGACTTTCTTTCTTTCCACTGTTAATTACGACAACAATGATAAATTTATCCTGTCTTGAAATAGCGTTCGTATGAAACTATCGTCCCATCGATATTTCTCTCCTTTGTTCTAATAACGGCCACTTCGATGAACATCGGTTATTTCACACACGCGTGTTTATTTTTTTTTTTTTTAATATTCACCGACGCGTTTTACAAAATTTTTCCTTATCGATAATTGCGTGTTTGGACGCTGATACGGAAACGATACTACGTACGCGACGATGATAATACTACTTTGACGTTCGTAGGTTTCACGGGAAACACCGACTGGTTTCATGCGGGCCAGTATGCCAATGGTTTCGATAATCGATGGACTTATCGCGGTAGAGGATCGTGTAGCGTCGTTTGGCAAGCACACTGCTAATGTGTGCTTTTATTAATGTGAGATAAATAGGAGGAAATTATAATTTCGAGTTCGAATCTCCCATTGTTCAGTGAGATTCGAGAGGAAAGGTTTTTTCGATGTTGGTGAAAGTAAAATTGTTATAGTGAAATCAATTTTGAAATTCTAGTGGATTTTAATTCGTTTCTGATGTTTTCATTGTCACTTTATCTCTCGAAGTTTGTTTTGTTTCATTCATAAAATACAATTGATTGAAAAAGTAATATTAATCTTTACCATCGTGGGTTTTAGAACGTATCTGATATATAGGGTGAGAAAAGAAAAGGAAAGAAAATTCATTTTATAAAATGTTCATTTTTCTGTTTTTTTTTTTTCAAAGTCACCTATGTTTTTTACAATAAATATTTAAATATAAGATTTTTAATTGAATGTGAAAGTTTCTTTCATTTTTTGCCATTTCTTCTATCAAAACAGATTCTCTTCCATCTTGTTCACCCTTTGAACAAAATTTTTTTGTACCACCATAAGCAGAGAAGATAATTAGGTGATCTGCTTTACGTGGCCCACTCAGTATATTAAAACTTATACTTAATTCAAGTTTACATGGTCAGCCAAAAAATGTAGAGAAACGAATGTCATAATCGCAGAAATGACTATTATGAATATTAGATCGAATTCTCTAAAACAGATTAACATTGTTGTTTCTTCACGTTAAGATAATTAACTTATCTTTTACCATTCGTTTGTTTAAATGATTATTGATAAATGCATCGTGTTGAGTATTAAAGTGAACAATTTTGAACAATTACTTCAACAAATAAATTATTACGAAACGAAGACACTGTGAAAGTAGTATTCAAATAAATTTTCCATTCAAAGACTAATAATTTTTATAAATTTGGAACAACGAAACTAGTTAATCATTGGTAAAAGTGTATACACTACCGGCCGAAAGTTTGGAATCACTGTGCATTGCAAGTTACACAAAAATTCCCAGAAAGAAGTCTGCAGCTTTAAGAATTTTTTAACGAATTTTGTATCATTCAAATCAATCGATATGAGATAAATTGCTATTTATCTCCACAATATCCATATCGAGTCTATGAAAAATTAGTAGCAGATTCAGTACTGATGAAAATTGGGAGGTGATTTCAAACTTTTGGTCGGTAGTGTATATAGAATCGTGTGGAAATTGTTCTGATTAAATACCTTATTTTTTGAAGAAACACAACGTATCTGAAGTGTAATTTAAAAAAAAAAACGACGTTTCATACACACCAACCTAAAATTTGCATCCTCTTCGTCAAGACGAAATCTTCCAATCTATCACATAAACACTAGTCCTAATCTCAGTAAAAAAAAATTCCTGTTGCCACAGGATAATTTCAAAGCAGCTAACGCTGAACTACAACCACAATTTTACGGTTACACAATTTTATAACGTTGTTACGAGAATTTACGCGGCGGTGCTTGCGCGCGTTATTTTTTCCTAATATCGAAGCACAGTTTCGAAACTAGAAAGATCGTGTTGTCTACTTTCGTTAAAATTCCTATCCTGGCCGATCTAAGTATTACACCAAGATATCTTTTACACGATCGTGATTCATTAAGCGGGCATTATAATATCACAGGGAGCCGAGGCACAGATTCGCGAATTATAAGCGCCCCGTTCCATTTCCATTTACATATTAATGCCGTTGCTCGAAGCACACAATGTCGAAACAAAAGCATCAAACGTTTCATTTACATTCACGCTAGACACGCGATTACGCGTCTTGCACACACGCCACTGTATGGAAACACATGAACGCGGGGAGGCGGCCGCGAAAGCGAAATGTTACTCGCTCGTACGATAATTAGTATGTCTACGACTATTAGTTATGGCTGTGCCTTTTGAGCAGCTAGGAATATAAATGTGCTCGCGCCTGCTGATACCGCGTTTATATACCCTACAGTGGCTGTCACTTAAAATCGTACACCTAGCGGTTCGGCAGTTTCTTTTTTTTTTTCAATAAAACGTGAAAATTGTACCAAACGATTAACCCTCGTCCGTCCCTCGGTGTCAGTTTGACACATTTTTCCGGTAAAAAATTGTATTATTCGGCTATTTGTAGAAAAATATTTTTTGTGGATTTTCTATATTTAATAAAAGAATGTACAAAATTAATTATTTATCTTTTCGTTTAGTTGATTTTTTACCATTGTGTCAAATTGACACCGAGGGACCTATTAACCCTGGAGCGGTCTTCGGGTCTTTTTTGACCCACCGCCTTTTTATATTTTTAGTCATTTTTGCTGTTATCAAGTTTACGTTCCTTAACGTTATTTTAAACGTTTATTGTCTAGGTTCATATGTCGCGTTGGAAAAAAAAATTGTTTCACATAAGGTCTTAGGTCCTTTTTGATCCAAAAGTCTTAAGTGTACAGTCAAAACGAAGAACGCAGTAGGGTTAAGTTGCGAAACTGAGGGACGGATGAGGGTTAAAATGCTTCTTTATTTGACATACAGCAAAACTATAATAAAATGTTTAGTAATACTTAGCAAATTAGAGAAAATTTGTCGTTACGTATGAAACCTAGCTGTGAGTGAAAATCGTACAGAAAGAATTAGATACATTTTTACAATAATAATAAATAACTTGTATTAATATTTTGTAGAGTAACCAAATGCATTTTCAACACATGTTAGTCATCGAGGAACTGATTTTACAAAATTTTCACAAAATTCAGGAGTTATACTTAACCATTCCTCTTGTAAAGCTTTTCTAAGACTTTCCTTATTTGTAATATCGTGTAATCGTACTTTCCTGTCTAATTCGTTCCACACATGTTCAATTACATTCGTATCAGGAGATTGGGGTGGTGTTTGCAAAAAATCGGCCCGACCCCTAGGTGTACGATGTTAAGTGACAATCACTGTACTTGTCGATTATGCGTGTTTCACCATATCGCTGCCTGTTTCGTTTGTTCGATTTATGTGTCACGCCCGCGACAACGAACCTTGTGACTCACGATATCGACCGAAATTTTAGGCGAATTATGCACCGTGTCTATGTTCGATTAACGCGCACGACTTCGTTCGTTTAGGCCAGCGGTGATCGTGAGAAAATGGCGTGTTGTTCGATTTAGAATTGTTCAATTTCTAAAAGAAATTCTGTCCGTCGGTGGAGTTCGAATTGTTTCTCGGATCGTTTGCGCTGCGCTCGTTTCGCGATTACTTTCGTTTTTTTTGTTTTTTAATGAATGAAACTTGTTATGCACTCTGAGATTTTAAATGGTTCGAACGACGTTGATAATGGAGGCTTTGGAGATTTTGATTTGGAGTCACTTTTGTTTGTTGTTTATGCGAAATAACGTGGCTTGAAGGAAAGATATGATTGTCTAATTGAAAATCATTACGTCGTGATAAAAATTACGAAAAGTTTGATACGTTGATCGGAAGTTGTTCTTGAAATAACTGACAAATTAGATGCGACTTTAATTACACGAAAAATATGTATAAATTAATTCTAGAAAATTCACGTGCGTATAATAATATTTTGAAATCAAAATAGAAGAATTGTTGACTAATTTTATAATAATTAATTTCAATTACTAATTTTAATTGGTCATTTCTTGTGGACATTTCTCAGTTATAAAAAATAAATAAATCTGTAACCTAATATGTGCACACTATCTAAATACGTCTCTGTTTACATATTTACCACTGTGCATGTAAGAGAGATATAAAAAACAAGTAAGTCATTTGGTAAAACCAAGGGAAAATTCATGTTTACATACCTTGAGCATCGAATTGCCTTCTTCTTCGAAGCATGCTTCTTCCTTGAGAAGAAACGGGACCTGTTCTTCCATGATTATCATCGTGCGGCTCATCTTCCCCTGCACTTGTTGCGCTATCGCGTTGCACTACTTCATCACTTCCGATCGTCGACGGAATAGTACCATTTCCGTTTCCACTGAAGAACTTTACTTTCCTAGCCAGTTCTACGTACCCATGAAGGCCAATCTCGCTGAATCTAATCAAGAAATGTTCAATAAATACATGAAATAATTATCACTAGATTGCTTGATACTTATCGAATAACGTAAAATATACATTAATTAAATTTTATTCGTATATAATATTACCTAACAAGTCATTTTGCGTTTAAGGTAATTCTGATAATCAGATTAAAATAGTTAAAAAAATTTTAGTAATTCGATGTCGTTATTTCTTGAATTACCTCGTATACAGAAAGACGTAAAATTTAACATTCTGTGACACGCTTCACGTTCCACTCGACAAATTATGAAAATATTCAAACTTTCTGAAGTACAAAGTTATCTCTATGTATTTGCGATATCGAACGTGATATCGAGCAAATTTAACTTCGAAATGTACAATGTTTAAATTATGTAAAATAGATCGAAGGGTGATAAATTCCTGTTAATCTTAACTGTGTACTTTTAGACAAAAATAATGTATCACGAAAAGGAAAATAAAATAAAAACTTTGGAACGAACCTACATTCCATTTTAATTATCAAAATTCTGTTCACTGATTATGCAAAGAAGTTTGAAATCTGGAACTTACAACACTACATTCTACTCTAATTATCAGAATATTGTTCATCGATTGTTCAATGAACTTTGAAATTTGGAATTTGAAACAGAACTGTATTCTACTCTAATTATTACAATTTTGTTCACCGCTTTGGAACTTGAAACGAAACTATATTCTATTCTAATTATCAGAATTTTCTTCACCGATTATTCAGTTATTCAAAGCACGTGCTATGAGCTGAACGCTGAATTTTGCGTTTTAAGTGTCGCAAGATTTAAATTACACACACCTTACGCTCTCGCTACCGCTACTCTCGTATCTAGCACTGCTGTTCGATTCTCTCCTGGTCCTCGTGATTGCATCTCGTATTCTTTGGGATGCTGAGCACGAATCTGCCGTTTTCCGTGGAAGCGCTGGGGTTGGTTCGCTCTCACTCTCCCTTGGACTATATCTCGATGATCTTGTGCTCAGTGGACTTGCTTCGGGAGACAAATGCTATGAAAAATTCAGAAATTTATTCTATTATTTAACGATGTAATTTATCTATTATCTAAATTATGCAATCCTATTGCATAAATTACCTTTCGCATAAGGGAAGCTTATGGTTGAAACGTTGTTTCAAACGAAAATAGCAAACATGTTAAATTTTTAACGTTTCCTTTTTCTGCCCCTACTCTGAATAATTTCTTCCTTCACAGAAAATACTTGTTTGAGGTATACCTAAACTGGTATAATTTATAATTTCTATTTCACGAGAATGGAAATATTTATTTAAAAATGATTGAAATAGTTAATTTTTGGGGGGAACAGAATATAACTGATTTGTTTTGGAAACTTTAAATAGGAATATTATTCCATTTGTGAAAGGGGAGATTGCAGTTTTATTGATTGTAAGATAGTTGATAGACTTCTACACTGAACAGGTCAGTCTCAGGTATAAAGGGACGATGGGAATCCCACAATTTTCTTAAAAGAAGGTCTTATAATTTATAGACTCATAAAGTATTTACATGGGTTTAAAATATCTACCTTAAATTTATTTTCTGATTCTATGATTTTATATGTAAGCCAAGAGATTAAAATTCTAAAGACGAATGTCTATATTCCTTCCTTCATAAATACATTCTTAGAAAATAAAATTTCATTCTAAGGCATCAATACACCAATTTCGTTAATACGTTTGTTTTCCAGCATTCAACTTGCGAAGGTTATACCCAGAGGTGTTTAATTATCTTGTTTTGACACGAGTAAAAGTGGTGACTCATAAATCACTTCGTCGTTTAAAAATTGAATAAATTGAATTTAAAATTTTAGTTTCAGATTGTAAACAATTGTCCTTCGGAATTTTCTCATGGAAAAATCAGTTTCCATATGTAGTCTAAAAAAATTCCATTCTCTATATTTCATTGTATCAAAAAAAATACAAATAATTGAAACATCCAAATTTTATTAAATTTCTAAATAGTAAAGCGACTTATGGGCCATCCTGTAAAGAAAATTGTTTCAAAGCTGTCATGTTATCAGGGACTTTTCACACAAACATTGTATATTAATTTCTGAAATGACTTTCTAGCAAATTTCGCCATGAATACAGTTAATGCACTTCATCATGTTTTATTAATCATGTTCAGACTTTTCTTAAAGTCTTTTCTTTTGACCACCCTTTTGATCGCCAATAAAGTTGCCAAATTGCCAATGCTTGACAAAAATGAACACAATGTAATTAAGAAACTTACACTGGAGCAGCGTTTGTTGGGAGTATCATCCGTATCATCGGGGTTCGAAAATTCCTCCTTGGAAAACTTCCGCCGCACCTGAACGTTGTGATAAAAACAAAAACCAACGTTGTGTATTTATGCTGTCAAATATTTACGTTCAAAAGTATCACTCTCAACAACTCGCTAATTAAACATTGATTTCAGAAAATCTATCATAGAGAATTTCTCGATTATCAAATTATGCAACGTATTACAGCGAAACTGACAGAAACGTTCAAACCACCGATCGCTTTATAAACACAACCACCTACTAACCACTTGAAACTCGTCGGACTTTCTCCCATGAACAGTATCCTTCCTTTCATACGTTCCCAAAGCAGTGACATCAGTTTCAGGATTTTCAACTAAACTTTCAGCGGTCTCCTTCATAGAGTCCACGTTCTTGTTATTCTCCAACGCTTCTACCACTTCGACCATCGAGCTTTCTTCCTCTTTGTCCGCCTCCGTTGCATGTATCTCCTTTTTCACCTCCTTCTCGCCTTTCTTCACGCCTTCTTGCTCTTCCAGCAGTTTCTCGTCGGTGACGACCACGTCGAGCATCGTCTGTTCGTTGGCCGCCTCTTCTGTTCTCACTCTCTCATACTGCTCTACACACGGCTCCTCCTCGTCGTTTCTCGATGACTTGCCATCGCGGCTTTCCTTGCTGCCTTCTCTGCCTGGTACCTTCGTCCTGCCTTGTTCGTGCACCGTTGACTTCGATTTCGACGTGCTCGAGACGCCCACGCGTTCCTCCGTCCTCTCCTGCTTCTCCTCTTTGCCGACTTGCTTTCCTTTTGCAGCAACGGCCGCGCTATTCGCATTTGAATTTGCGCTCTCCCTACCCACGTCCTCGCGGCTGTTGTCCCGTCGGAACAGCCGAATACCGTGCTTAGAATCCTCCTTAGCCACCGATTGGAACGCGGTGCTTCGCGTTTCTTCCTTCGAGTCCTTTCGAGCTGTCTTCGGCACGCACCGGATGTCGTCCTTGCTGTCCTGTCGTTTCAAACGATCCTCCTTGCTTCTCGGAGAGATTAATTTGGGGATTAAGCTGGGCACGCTTATATCCTCGCGACTGCGTCGCAGATCATCAGTGCTCCCTCGGTATCTGAAAAATAGTATTGCGTGTTATCCAGTGAAATGGCGAAAAGTAACTGAACGTATTGATTAACCCTTGTATAGGGAATCAAATTATTCAATTTTGTTTCGAGATTTAACCCTTTCACTGCTGTTGGCCCTTTGCTGCTGTTGGTGAGTTTTGGCACACTTGCAGCTTAATTTAATCCTTCATTTTTGCCCTATAAGCATTTCCATTTTAATTTAATGACAAAAATTTTGAAACGATAAATGTTTAATTCTAATCTTTCAATTTTTAAAAAACGCCAGAACGAAAGATTTTGCCTTAAATCTGCCGCAGCGAAAGGGTTAATATTTGAAATAGTTTGTATAAATTTTTCTCTTGGAAACGTATGTGGACATAAAAATGTCCAAACAGTGGAGATCCGGAGCGGTTTCACGATACTTTCACAAGAACATCGAAAATTGTTAAAGGAAGATACAGAAATGGGCACTGTAAGCGTATATGGAAATTAGTTTGATAAAAATTAAGATCTGATTTTAAGGGATTAGTAGGTGAAATGTTGTGTTTGATTTTTTCTTCACAGACTTTTCTGTGTCAAATAATTTTATATTAAACTCGTAACGACAATGAAATTTGTTTCACATTCAGCAAGTAGATTTTAGTAGATTTCCATAGGTTTCGAAAGATTTCGATAGAGATTAGTACAATTCAGCAGATGTTAGTAGCTTTTGGTAAATTTCAATAGAATTCAGTAAGTTTCAGTTATGAACGTGAGTATACACACTTAAAAACATTTCATTTCCTTCCGAAAAACGATCGCATTTAACAGGTGAATCTACTTTCTTCAATTCGTCGTCATTTTTCACATTTCTTACTTCATACTGTTAATTTGATCTATTGTTTATAAACATGCAAGTATTTTAGCGTGACAATGCTTAAAAAATGCATGACATCATTGTAAATTCGAGACGAAAGTATGCCAGATAAGCAAATGTCAATACCACGTACGAATGCATTTTTCACATTCCTTTTAAACGTTACAAAAATTACCTTAGCGATGTTATTTGATACCAAATGATTTTTCAACTACTAACTTCTCAAGTAAGCTAAATATATAGAACAGTAAATAAAGAAAATATTAACAGAAAGTAATCACCAAAAATATTACAACTCTTTTGCTAACATTAAATCTTCAAAAGACTCAGAATGGGTCGCATGAAGCTCACACATTCATGTCTACTCTTTAAAATCAGCCCTCCAATTTTTGATGCATGTAATTACCAAATAACCCTAAAGCATATTCTTTTAATCTTCCCTATGTATACGAAGATCCGTTCGAAATTCCAAATTAAAGAAACTTTGAAAGAAAATCGCAGTGAACATCAGCAAACACTAAAAGTATTACTTTTTCCAAGGGTCCTAATGTTCCATAATAAGATCTAATTTCGTCGCTAAGAACCATATACGAGCCACTTAAAAACCAAATTGACTAACTCCGCCAAATAAAATTTATTAAATTTGTCTTATTTATGGAAAATTAAGCAGCAAGCACGTTCTTCGATACTAAAATTGGAAGAACTTTAGCAAACTAATAGCAGATATCAACAAAAAGACAACGTAACAATTGAATAGCAAGAAAACACTACCTTTGAGGGATGAGAGAACGTTTCGGTGATTCTTGCGGGCTTCTGATGTCCTCGAATTCCTTGGAGCTCCTCCTGAATATAGGAATATTCGATTTTCTTTCTCCATGCTTAACTTGGGTCGATTTAATCTCCGGCGAGATGAATTTCGTTAATATCTTCGGTGGCTTTATCAAAGAAACTCTCGGCGTAGTTTGCTCTTGACTACTTGTCGACTCGTCTTGCTCTTCTATTTTCGCTTTATTATCGTTCGTTGCAACGAATCGCTCGTTTCTCTTCGCTTTTATGGCATCTGAAGATGGCACGTCCTCTTCCTGCTTATTCGATAATTTCTCCCCTCGTTTTGCGTTCGTTCGTTCGTTGGTGTCGTATCGTAGTGTGCATTTTTCAAAGATAATCGTTTCGTTCCTCACCGTTGCATCTTTGTACGGATCGTTTCTCGCGGAACCATTACACTCGCCGGACTGTTCGTTTGCCTCGGTGGCAACTCGTTCCTTTTCATCGGTGTTCGAACTTTCTGTGTCGAGGAGTTTTACGATTTCGTTCTTGTTGATGATTTCTCGGTATTCTTGATGACGAGACGGCAAGCTCCGATATATGCGCAGTTCCGGCGATTTCCTCGCCGCTGACCAACGTGTGGGTGGACCTGTACACAAAGTGCAATCGATAATTTATTGCACCGATTGGTGGTAAAAGTGAAATTTTTGCTGTTTCGAGTGTCGACGAAAGTGTCATCCTTACCGGAAAAAATGGAACAAGAAATAACCAGTACGTTGATTTTTGTATATTTAATAATATCCGATGTGTTATTTTTACTATATGTAAT